CAAGTACTTCATATTGTCAAAAGCTTCGAAAGTCCATCCATGCTCAGCAACGGCTTTTTTAACATCTTCTCTTGCGCGGTTTTGGTAGTCTTTATTCTGCGCCAACTCCATCAAGACCACAGTTGCTGTTGTAGTACTTGATTCGAGTCCAGAGAAGAATAATCCTGATTGGAAGAAAAGATTTTCACCTTCGAATTCTGTAACACAATTGATTTATTATTATTCTTTGGCCACGTGTAAAAAAAAATTAATCTCTGCTATCGTTATCGATAAAATTTGATAAGAAAGTTATTTGTAACATAACTTCGAAACTCCGAAATTTTAAACTATCGTAGTTGAAAATGATCAAAAAACCAATTTTTCAAGACAGTTACGAAATTTCCGAGCACAAAGTTGCATTTTGAGCTTGAAGAGCTAAAATCAGTAGAAAAGTTTTTGAGCGTTTTTTTGAACTTTAATATAACAAGAAGTTCCAGAGATAGCCTTTAGAGTCAACCATATCCAGGATTATTTAATTGTTACAATAATAAAAAAATTTTAAATTGTAACATTAGTGACAATTTTGGAAAAAAAGGTCAGAATTTTACAAAATCAAAACAGATTAAAAAAAAAACTTACTCCAAAGAGGACTTTGCTTATCATTTTTCAACTCAATGATCGAATCGACGTAATCTCCTCTTTTACCACCGCTTTCTTCCCGAGATTTGATAGAATCTTGAAAAACTTTTTGCAAGAATGTCGAGTCGAATAATATTTTAGTGCCAATTATTTCTACAAGTTTGGGTATGAAGAACACCGTGACCAATGCTATCATGCGTTTAAATCCTCGGAAGAAGCTCATAACTGAAAAAAACACAATTTATTATCACCTAATAATTATCTAACTTTATGAATTAACTTACGGAATTTGGTGTAGTCAGAATCTGGATACTTGAAAGAATCAGTTTTAACACCAAGTGCGATGTTGCCAATAAGATCCGCTCCATATTTGTAATTCAAATCCTGAGCGTCAATAATTTTAACTCCCTGATCATTGGCAGGTTCGTTCCTCAGGAATTCCATCATAGGTTCCCCAGTTTCCATCATTAGCGGAACCATCTGCCTCACGTTCTTCCGACCGAATGATGGAACAGTTTTGCTCCACACGTACTTCCAAGTAGGATTCTTCAATCCGAACAAATTTTTCATTCCAAAGCTGTCTTTCTGCGGCGATCCTGCGAAGTACCTATCGTTGAAATTTTCAGAATCACGGAACAGGATTTGCTTTATTATATTTGGGTCCTTCAACAAAAGGCAGGGCTTGTGAAAAATGTAGAATCCGATGTATGGAACATTTTCTGGCGCCTCATGGTACAGTTCCGCCAAATGGTAGCCAGGTGCAGTGCGGAACAGGATTCCATTTTTGTAATCGCCGAAAATTAGGTTTGTCTTACGAAACTGAGACACTCCGCGTTTTTTCCAGTAGCTTAATTTATAGCGACAGTATAAATAACCGAGCAACAATGTTGCCAGGATTATTCCAATGTAGTTAGTAAATTTTACGTATACTTCCTGTTCAAACATGTTTACTGCTGCACAAACTAATGTTTACTGCTTTTGGGGTTTAAATATTTGGTGTATCTACTGGATCATTAGTGTAGATAGTATTAATGAAGATAAAGAATGTTATTATTTTAAAAAGAATAACACATTCTTTGTTGTCGAATTAATTGAGTTATAATAACAGGGCTCTTTGTTGAAAAACATTTTGTTTTTTTTTGTAGTTAATCATATGTTTTAATCTCTATTTTAAAAAGGATACGATTTTATATTTGATTTATTATAAGAATATTTTGATTTTTTAACTTCTTGCTAAGAAAATTGAAAATTTTCTGTTTTGACTCGCGATTGGTTTACCGCAAGTATTTAAAATGTTACGTATAAAATTAAAGCTTATATTTTATACCAAATAAATGAGTTACTCAAATAAATTGTGAATAAAAGTTTAGTTCACAATTAATAAATGCAAGACTAATAATAGATGTTGCATTGAGTAAAAAACCATGAGGTTGAGTTTATCTTTAATTTATTTAAAGTAAAGAAAATGCGACTGTGCGCTACAAAGTATGTAAGAATAACTAACTTAGAGAAAATACAAAAATTATTACAAGGAGAGTAAGAACTAGGCGTTACAATTACAAGCAGGAAAAATTAGGAGTAGGAATATTCAGCAACGAATAGTTGACCAGGAAATTAGTTGGAGGCGGGATAATTGCAAACTGTGCAGTTTGGAAAAACAAGCAGGAAAGGGAATATGGAAGCTAAGATTTTTACCTGGATACAAAATTTACCAAAAGTAAAAACCCAGAACGTAATATAATCCAGGTATCAAATTTATGGTCATAAGCAGATTAAGAGTACTTAGGAAAAATATCCCAAAAATTAACATTAAAAATTCATTTACTATTGTAGGGCTAGATAATAAATTAAGTATAAAAGGCAAAAAGGTTGTCTAGACTAATACTGCAATAGGCTGTAATACGTAGTCTGGGAAATTTGCAGTCATAAATAAAATCGAACAACGAAATGAACCTTTTTCTAGATAACATCAAGTAAACGTATTTAAAAACTACGGATTTAAATTCTACATTTAAATCTAAAATATTATTTTTCAAACAGCGTAGCAATTTTCGCTTATGATAAAAAATATGAAATTATTTAAATTAATTTAAAATGTTATATTAAAAATATATGTCTAACGACGGAACATTTTCAAAAATCGGAAAGTTATTGTTTTTACCCTGTTTTTCGAAAATCGAGTTTTCATCAGATCTCGACGTTTTGAGGTCCTAGGAAGCTTCCTTGACTATTCCCGAGATGGTGTCTGTATGTATGTGTGTATGTGTGTATGTATGTATTAAACCTCTCATAACTTTTGAACGGCTTGACCGATTTGATTGTGGTTGGCGCCATTTGAAAGGGTTCGACTAAACTTATATTTTAAATACAATTTGGACCGATCGATTTTGAGAAATCTTAAAAAAACTGCGAAAAATTTTTTTTTTAAGTGTGGTTTTTTTTTAATAACTTTCAAACGGTTTGACCGATCAATTCCAAAAACTAATCAGCTCTTAACATCGAAAAACCATGTCGATCGCCACCAAGCCAGTCAAAATTGGTTGATTCGTTCGTGAGTTATCGTTGACGAAAGAAATCGAAAAAAAGTGTTTTTTTCGAATTATACCGAAATTTTCGGTCTGATCAATTTGTGTTTGAAAAAATTAGCATAGAATTTAAAAAAAATGCGTCAAATGCCGCCAACCGCGTGAAAATCGGTACATTCATTCAAAAGTTATTGCGGTTCGAAAATTCAAAAAATTAGGAAAACAGTTGACCCTGAAGGCCGTCTCTGCAACTTCCCGCCAACTTTTGAATGAATAAACCGATTTTCACGCGGTTGGTAGCATTAGACGCAGTTTTTTAAGCTTCATTAAGAATCTTCAAGTTTGAATTGATAGAACGAAAAATTTCGGAGTAGTTCCGAAAAAAACACTCTTTTTGTTTTCTTTCGTCAACGATAACTCATTTTAAGCTTCATTAAGAATCTTCAAGTTTGAATTGATAGAACGAAAAATTTCGGAGTAGTTCCGAAAAAACACTCTTTTTGGTTTTCTTTCGTCAACGATAACTCACGAACGAATCAACCGATTTTGACCGGACTGGCGGCGATCGACGTGGTTTTTTTTTTTTATGTTAAAAGCTGATTAGTTTTTGGAATTGATCGGTAAAGCCGTTTAAAAGTTATTCCAAAAAAACCACTTTTGAAAAAATTTTTTTTTGTAGTTTTTTCACGATTTATCAAAATCTACCAGCCCGAATCGTTCCAAAGTATATTCAAAATCTAAGTTCAGTCAAGCCCTTTCGAATGGCACCAACCGCGATCAAATCGGTCAAGCCATTCAAAAGTTATGAGAGGTTTACATACATCCACACACTTTTTCCTAATTTTTTTTTTTTTTTTTAATTAACAATATATGAAAAATTTATAAAATTGAATAATCGAAATTAATTGTATGCTTTATAATATTTAAATAATGGGTGTCAATAAGTAGTTGATAATTTAATAGCGAAGATTATTACTGTTCGAAATAGTATTTTCTTCTATGTAAATAATAAATTGTAGCATTTAAATGATAAATATTATGAAGTGAGTAGTAAAATCACGATTTTACTGTTTAAAATGGTATTTTTTAGCAGTTGATCATTACTTATTATAAATCGACTGTTATTTATTACCGTTTACTTTTATCCGTGTATCAGTGTGTGCAGTATCTTTCTTTTCAAATGGATAATAACGCGAAAGATTTAAAAGTATTAATTTAATTATGAAAAATGAGATTATGAGGCGTGCACTTATGGATTTTTCAAACTTTTTATGTTTATAAAAAAAAATTTCTTCTTGCATATAAAAAAAATCTTTTAATTTAAGGTAAAGGAAAAATGAACAAAACCACAAAATTATGAGTCAATCGTTTTACTAATGTTTATTAATAAACATTCCATATAGATAATTTAATTTATAATAATTTAAATATACCAGTTGTCGCAATCGTATTTTTGTTTTGTTAAATCGTTATTTACACTATTCAGTATAAAATGCGAGTTCGAGATTAAATCACACCACTAAGGTAATGTTTTATTATTTTTTTTTTTTTGTTATTTTTCCATTTTTTAAATCATTTAATAATAATTTATTAAATCTGTTGTTAAATATACCATTATCATTATCATTATAATTATCATTATAAATTATCATTAATAATTATCATTATCATTATCAATAAAATAAAACCAACAAATAAACAATTATTATTTAATTTAGTCATTCGATTCTCGTCTTGGACACTATCTGTCATCGATTATTAAATAATAATAATAATAACATTTTTAATTATTATTATTATTAATTTTAAATAAATTCATTTATTTATTTAATTAATTAATTTATTTATTTATTTATATCAATGCTTGTACTCAGGAAAATGCGTAGGGGGTAGTAGGGCAGTATTTTCGTTATCACTAGTGTTGGTAATTAATTCATTAGGGGTATTATCATCGTTATTTATTATGTTACAATCTATTCTACCATCATCATCATCATCACCATCATCATCATTATCGTCTAGTGGGCATTTACTTTTTTTATTTTTATTTATATTTTTTTTTTTAATAGTATCAGTATCAGTATTAGTATTATTAATATTAGGCAATTGATTCACATCGACTCCGGTACATACATCGGGACATTTTTTAACCAATAATTTACTTTTATTATTATTAATCATTATTTGTTGGTGGGATTGAGCATTTATGGCTTCGCCGTTAACATTAATCCGGCTATTTTTGCCTAGTCCGTCAACATCTTGTAGTCCATTTAGATCTTTGGGCGCCAGCGCTGATGACGGTGGTGGATAATATCCCCGATCTCGTATCGGCAATTGATCTTTTGAAGTTGGCGGCTGGGTGACCAATAGTTGTTGCGGCTGATGAAGATGAACTTGACGAAGATGAACAGCTGTCGATGGCGGCGGAGACGGTGGCGGCTGTTGTGGCGCCCGATGTTGGAGCCGATCCTCACTCGTCCACCGGGCTAATTGTTGTTGAGCTTGAATAAATGCATCACTAGAAAATAACAAGACTATGCGAGCCCGATAGGATCTATGGTACGGACACTAGTGCAGCATGCAAGAGACTGGACAGAGATTTTTAGGAGCATGTCGGCGGAAACCGCGGTCACGAAGTCTTTTTTATCTAATCTGTTAAAATCATATTTAAATGATACAAATAGGCTAAATTACGAGCGTTTGTGACCATAAGGCCGCAAAAGCTCGTCGTTAGGGTTTGACTTTGTTAAATAATGGAGATTTTTTTTTTTTTGACTACGGGTAGTTTTGGTGCGCATTTGATGGTAATTAACGCGGATACCTTTCGCTATCGGGCGTTTCGCCCCTAGTGTTTGAGCCTCTGTCAGGATCGGCTGTTTCATAGATTCCCTCCTCCTCGTGCATTTGGTGGGAATGCTGGTGCGAATGCTGGTGAGTGCCGTACGGGCTTCGCGACGACGGCTGACGATATCGACCGTAGACGAATCGATCATCCTCGCGACCGCGGCTGCACCTTCTGCTTCTACGCAGGAGGACACATGTCAGTCTAACATTTGTTTTGGACACTCTTTTTTACATGGAGAGAAAAAAATAGAACTTATTCCTATGTAGAATGGTAACGATTATCATGTTACATAGTAATGGAAATTTTTGTGAGAACCCTTTGTAAATTTGCTCATAAAAATTTTAGAAATGTGATAAAAATATGGACAATCCCTCATTCGATGCAGAATTAAATTCTGAAAATAATGTTTTTTTATTTATTTATTTTTATTTTTTTTATTTATTTATTTTTTTTTTTTTCAAGCTAGAGTTCCGAGAGTCACGACTTTTTTTCAGAAATTTCGTCCTCTCTAAGGATCTTTTTACCGACTTTTAATATCACCAATAGTTATTGATACATTTACGAATAACTGAGATTTTTTATTTTCGTTATATTTTTTGGTTAATAACAAATTTAAATTTTCATCAAAAAAACGAAAAAACAACAACATTATTTTCAGAATTTAATTCCGCATCGAATGAGTGATTGTTCATATTTTTATCACAATTTCTAAGGTCTTTATTAGCAAATTTACACAGGGTTCTAACAAAAAATTTCCGTTACTATGTAACATAGTAATCGTTACCATTCTACATAGAAATAAGTTCTATTCTTTTTTCTCCATGTACATACGTAATTACTTCATTTTCATTATCGTTTGTTAATTCTAATTAAATCACTAGAAAAATTAAAGAAAATGGGTTTAACGAGGAAGAGTATGGAAAAGAGGTTTTTACGCAACGAGGAGCGATCTTTGGAACGCGGGAAGTTTAATACGGCACGTTCTAAAAACATTCGGCTCGCCCGAAGGGAAAGTACGCGTTGTAAGTGTAATTTCTCGATTTCTATGACTTCTTATGTCTGTTAAAATTTTCTGTAAAATATTCAATTTTAAAGAAATTTATTTATAAAAAAAAAATTTTTTTTTTTTTTAAATAAAATTTAGCTTTGACAGAAATGAAGCTTTATAAATTTACATTTTTAAGGAAAAAATAAAAATTAATCGAGACTTTAAATTAGACATGACAAATCAGGAAATCGCTTACATGTACGATAAAAAAAATTAATAAAATATAAATCCTTTACTAAAAAAAGAATACTAAAAAATTGATGGCGTAGAAATTCACTGATTTTTTTCCCGAAATAACTATCAGAAGTTAAATCCCTAGTAGTAAATAGTAGCCCTGAGGATTATAGGTTTTTTCTCGTAAATCCGATAGTGTAAGGTTTAATTAAGCTATAAAAAATTTGATAGCTCTGCGGTTAAAAGTTACAACCGTTTAAAAAAAAACAAGTTTCTTTTTTATTTGTAATTCACTTTTGATTGCCGACTAAATGTCTGTTTTTTACGATATCAATTTGAGCTGGACATTTTTTTTTCACTATACTATAAAAAATTTCCTGATGTGACTTACATAAATTTTTTATCAAATAGTTTGAAAAAACTCCGATAGAGGGCTAAACTATATTATTAATTACATAAAAATGAGTTTATATCTAAAATGTCAATAATTAAGAAATGACATGGTATCTTGTCAACTAATGATATTTTTAAAGATATAAGCTCACCCCGACATTACACTCAGCGCTTTCATTTGAGTACCCACATAAATTTTTCATATATTTTATATATTTATATATTTCACAAATACCATATATATAAAATATATAAAAAAATGCCATGTGGGTACTTAAATGAAAGGTCTCGATGAGTGTAACATCGAAATGAGTTTATATTTAAAAAAATGTCAAGAATTAAGAAATGATCTTGTATATTGTCAACTATTGACATTTTTGAAGAAATAAGTTCATCCCGATGTTACACTCATCAAGACCTTCCATTTGAGTACCCACATCAATTTTTCATATATTTTATATATTTATATATATATATATATATATATATGTAAATATGAAAAATATATGAAAAATGCATGCGGGTACTCAAATGAAAGCTCTTGATGAGTGTAACATCGGGATGAGCTTATATCTTTAAAAAAGTCAATATTTAAGAAAGTACACTGCAATTTAACAAAAGTCATTATGTAATGATGCAAAATTTTATTTATTAATAGTTCACAAGTCACTCTAGTTACCTAGTGAAAATTTAATTTAAAATATTAAATTCTAATATAAAAATCATTTTTTTTAACTTTTAGAAAATTATTAATAATTAATTTTTTATACTCATATTTATCACATATAAAATATCACGCCAGATTTTCACATCAAAAAATTTTCTTACAGTATATTCTTAGTCGGGTCTCGAACACGGTTCTTTTCGGTTATCTATCTAATACGCCTTTCGTTAATCCAAGGGTCGAATAATGACGCGTAATTTTTAATATTTTTTCTGTTTTTATCTACAGAATAAAATTTATCCTCACAATAATTGAGTTTCCATTGACTAATTTTTACTTAAAAATTAAAATCGATGTTGAGGTAGTTGAAAAAAAAATAATAAGATTGTACGATAATGAAAATAAAAAATTAGCATGTAATGCTAGACCGAAAAGGGAGGGACGCATAAAGCCATAGATAATGATATTGATAGAGGTAGATGATTAAGAATATTAAAAAAAGATGATGGAGTATTTTTTTAATGTAGTTAAAATTAATCCTCGCGGTCTAAGAAGCGTACAAATAAATTATTAATATACTTAAAACCAATAATAAATTATTAAAACCAATAATTAATAATGTAAAAAAAGCCAGGCGGCTAATAAATAAAAAATAGTAATAAAAGTAACAGCATTATTACCATTACTTCTTCGAAATATTGGAAGCATCGAGGGTGTAACTTACCCCTGGGAGGACTCGCTACAGACAGAAGAGTCTATCCGGTAGTGCCGGTCCCCCTCGTTCTCGGAAATCCGCATGTCCTCAGATCCGTTCGGACTCATGTGCCGTGCGGAGTGGACCTCTAATTGCCGGATTATGTCCTCGAGGGTGCGGATCCGGATAGGCCCGCAGGTGGGAGGAACGTCCTCCTCGTCGTCATCGTCCTGATTGTCGATGTTGTCCTGCCCTGAGTCCGCGGTCGCCTTTCGATATCCGTCCGGGTAGCCGCACTCTGCCAGCGACTTACGGATCATCTCGTCGTCCATCAGGTTCCCAGAACCTGAGGGAGTTCCTGACATCCCGCGGTGGCTCGTCGCATTCCTCAGGGCCTCCATTAGTTCTCCGTGGTACCCGTTCAAGCTGCTCAAGGTTTGAGCCACCATGGCGCTGTCTGGTAGTCCTTTAAAATTATTAGACTTTCTGTACTTTTTTTTTGGGGGGGAGTTAAATGGTTATTCTGGTTTAGAATTTTAAAGAGGACACGGAGAAAATTTTTACGGGAAGCATGCAATTTTTTTTGGGTAATAAAATGATTTTTTTTTATAATTAGAGTATAAGAAATAATATTTTTTTTTTTTCACTATTGTTTTTATTTAGTTCAAAAATTTTATATTTATTAGCTCGAAAATTAATTTGAAAAATAACTTCAAATTTTAAGAAAATGTAAGGTTAGTATCTTTAGAACATAGTTTTAGATCTGCGCATGCGCTGGAACAGTTCTGACGCATGCGCGTAGAGCTTACGCAATTTTAAATGACGAATTATTTAAAATTCAAGAATATTCATTTTTAACTTTTTTTTTCTAGAAAATAATATAAATTGAAAAATTTTAATGTTTTTTTTTTTAATAAGATAATTGTAATTAAAATCAAAAATTTTGGAAGAAATTTGGTAAACATTTACAAGTGGGGTCAACAATTTTAATTTTCATTTTTTTGAACGAAATTTCTATTAGATTTTATTGATATATTTTTTTTCTGAAAAATACATAAAAAAATGAATAATTTTAAAAAAATTTCGTTATCACAATTTTAATAAATTTTCAAAAAAATTTATAAATTTTTAAGAAAATTTTGATGTTCAATATTTTTTTAATTGTTCGTTTAAAAAAAAAAAAGAATAGAAATTTTATCCAAAAACATGAGCCAAATATTTTTCCAACTTTCAAATGCAAAAAAGCTATCGAAATCTTGATTTTTTTCTTTCATGATATTTTTTACCACAAATGCGCGGTAAAAACAAGCAAAATAAAAAAAAATATTGATTTTTGACCTATTTATGGACAAAATGGGGTTGACCCTTCTTGTCAATAATTACCAAAAATTTTAAAAGTCACAAACTGACTTATTATAGCAATTTTTAGTCGCCAATAAATTAAAAGATTTGATTTTTAACTTTTAGTATTCCTTTTCAAAATAATACAAAAAGTAATTTAATAAATTAATAAAAAAGATTAAAATTGTGAAAAGATTATTTTTTTGACCACCTAATTTTTTTTTTCCAGTATTTCAATATTATTTTCTAGTAAACCACCCCTGCAATAATTCTTAAATTCCAAGAACAAATTTATACACTTTTATTCCAATTGTTAAAGCTCTAAATCTCTGGAAAATAAAACGAGTTCGAATTAACAATACACTTTCAATTCTCCGACCGCAAGGTTTTAAATGTAGAACAATAAATTAAACATCTGTAGGTGAAATATTAAATAACTCCCTCTTAATCCTACTTAGCCATGCAATTTCAAATCTGCTGGGTTGGTACTTCATTGTTATAAGGTAAGTAAAACCCAGAAGCTGATTTATTTATTTAAAAATCTCAGGATTAACTACTTTGATTTTATCATTTTTGTTTTTAACCTTAATCTTACATTTTTTTTAATACTTAATCAACGATTTTTAAAAATGTTTAAAAAGTACCAAGATAGTGTAAAATTTTCACGTTTAAAAGTGACCTTTTCTTCCAATGAATTTGTGAGAAAAAATTTAAATAATGTGAAAATGTAAATTGCATAACAAAAATCGCAGCAGAAAAGCCTCCAAGTTTAAACATTTAAGAATAGAAGAAAAGAATTTAAAAACTTCGTGAAGTTAAAATACCCGTTTCACTGCCAAACCACGCGTGAACAGTAAAATTTTACATTATTACCACAAAGTTAACATTTTGACTTCCTTTCAATATTTTTGTACTTTATAAACAGTGAAGTTGACTTTATGGTGTCGAAATATTCCTCTCCGAGCTATTGTTAAGATTTTTATAACTGGAAAACTGATAATTTATAACCTTATGACCTTGATTTTTTGGCGTTGTGCCAAATATACTTTAGAGAAGTTTTTTTTTCGTCTTTTAGAAGTAACACGCCTTTTTGGCACTTGAATTTTGTAAGTGGTATTTTCTTATTATAGATTTAATTAAATTCATAAAATTTGGCGCCGTTTGTAATTAATGACTAAGTTATATCATGACTTCAATTTTCGACGGGTCAATTTTTAACTTTTTTCTTATAAAAGGGAAAAAAAATATTTTAATTAGTTCACTGAGAAAACAATTTGTTTGATTTAAATTCGTAAATTTAAGTAAAAAAAATTGTACCATCTAATGAAATAGTCTTTTTTAAATAACATATATTTTTTGCAAAGACAAACTAGAATTTTTATATTAAATTTTAGCGTTCAACTATACCTCGAAATTTTCAAAGCGGTACCCATAACCTGAACAGGTTGAGGCCGTATAATTTTAACAGCACTATAACTTCTAATAGGTTTATAGACTAGTGATCAGCATTGTCATTTGTATTAATTACTGCAATTTAAATAAGTTTTATGAGTAAAAATTAGTGTAGTTAAAAATTATTGAACGTTTTGAATAGAGTTTTTTTTGATTTATAATTGAAAATTTGATTTGTCACCCCAAAAAAATGTAATTAAAAAATTAAATACAAATATTCATCATTTTTAAATGAAGATATTAAATATTGACAGTATTATTTTTAATATTATTCAATAATATCTTATATTTCTTTAGATATTTCAATAAAACGTTGAAAATTTTTGGTGTGCCTATTGCCATATATTTTATTAGCTCAATTAATGCTCCTGAAGTGTTCAACTACTGCGGCTTGTCAGAATTGATTGTTCAACTATTACTCCTTTGATAGTCTATTTTAAAAACGTTGTCAAAATGTAAATAATCAATAATCTTTGTTATTTTGCGCTTTGATAAATTCAAAATTGTTAATATTTTCATGAAAATCGCTATTTTGAACCAATAATAACATCTTTATAAATTGAAAGTAGGGTCAAATAAGTTTTACTTTGAAACCTGTTCAACTTCTGGGTACTTTATCTTAGTTAACAAATCTTATTTGACTGAAATAAATGATTTTAAAGTATTAAAGAAATATTTTTTCTCTAAACAAATAACTATTCCATTCAAATAAATAAACTGAATAAACCATAACTTTGTCTTAAATAAATTAATTTAATTGTATCAAATAAGAATCATATAAATTGTTATCTCAGTATTGGTTTAACGTTAAAAAAATTTTTATCAAATTTAAAATTTGTATTTTATCATCGCAATTTCATCATCTTAGTACTTTGTCTACTTTTTTTTATTGATTATACAGAGAAAAATTCTTGAACCAAGAAAATAATTTCAATTGTCCTGAATCAAGACGAAAAATTCTTTAATCAAGTAAAATTTACTTAAACTTGATTCAATTTTTTTTTCTATGCAATGAATCACCAAAAATGAAGCGTAAAATTATAAATAACTCTATCTAAGCAACGTAATTTTCTCCGTGTAAAAAGAAACATTAACGTGAGGTATTGACGTTTTAAAAAAATTTAAAATTTAAATACGAGAGTAAATGAACAGCCAAGTTAAATAAACTTTAAACTATTTAGGTATTACAATACCGTAACCACCGTGTTTCTTTAAAATTCCCTTCTCAGGTAACTTTGTCAAACTGTTAGGTGGTAGATCAATGACAGAGACAACGTCTTCGGCGCCCGTACCTCCATCCTCATCGTACATTCCTCCCATCCTCTTCATCGGCGTCTTGTGCTCCCTGAAACATAATAAAATAAAATTATTTACATTTTTATCAGCCCGTATTTTACCTTAGCAATAAATGCCGTCTAAAAAAACGAAAAGAAGAACAGATTTTTCGAGGGAACGGTAAATCAGAATGAGAGTAAGCGTATGGAACTTGGTTAAATCACGTTTGATGTTGACGAGAAAAATAAAAAGTTAACAAAAAAAAAAAAGAGTTTATTGTTAAGTAAAAAAAGTTGTGAATTCTAGTTTGGTCTGAACTCTTTTAGCTCCGCTTGCTATTTCAGATTTTGTGGAACTTTCCACCCCTTCATCCCTCTGCGGATCTCCTGGACTATTATTTCTTTAGTTCTTAGTTCGTTCGTTCGTTCGTTCGTTCGTTCGCCATAGTCTTTCTCCCTTTCTTTAGATTTTTTATTATAACTTTGAAAGTTTAAAGAAAGTGTACTGAGAGGTCTTGTTGATTTTCCCTAAGGCCGTTTGAGTGATGAATAATAAAGCGCGGTGGCCAACTCTTTTCCACCAATGTGGTTCCACCGTTTCCGCGTGTGTTTGTTTCTTCAGTATCTATATATAAATTTATATAGATAGGTTGAAGGTAAAACCCAGGATAAGGAAACGAAGAGCAACATTACGCGTAGACCAGAGTTAAGCCAAAGAAAGAAGAACCGAGAGATGAAAAGCCTCTTAAAACTTTAAGCCTATTTTCATTTTTTACTTTTCGATCTTTTTACTTTTTAATGGCATCCTAGAGCTTGCTACAGAAAAAAAAAATTGTTTTATTGGTTACTTACTTGAGTCGCGAGCCGTCTGCGGTCACGTTTGGTTGCTGTTGGAATAACACACGTTGGTCGCAGCTGGAAAATAGATTTATTTTTTATTTGCACAATTAAAAAAAAAAATTTTACTGAGTGAATTAATTCACGAAAATAAGATTTTGGGATAGAAAGATTAGAATTTTACAAATCATATATTAGGTAATAGGGGAATTCCATAGTGACTGGTAGGACATTTGACTCTGGAATTCCGACAATTATATATAATTATGTGATTGAAACTTATACTATAGTAAAATTTATCTTATACAGAAGAATAACTAATTAAGAGATCCCTTTGTCAAAAACCTCGATTACTTTTTAAGTTTCTCGTAATTATCATATGACTGAGTGTGACTGGTGGGACTAAGAAAAATCCTTCTCTCTTACCAAAGGTATACTTAAAGTCCAATTTCAGTTCGACCACTAAACTAAAAAAAAATACTTCCCTCGAAAATACTAAATTTATCCAAAAAACATTCAATATTATGAAGAATTAGACTGATTACCTACGTAGAAACAATTAAAAAAATTTGTTTTTATTGCGACTGGTGGGACAGGCATTTGTGACTGGTGGGACAAGTAAAAAATGTCTACATCAAGTTGTTTATTAAAAAGACTTTTATATTATTTCAACCTTAGAAACATTATTGTTTATATATTTAACTATAAATTATTTAGGATAATTAAAAAAAACTAATAAAGGATTTAGCATGCTGACAACACGATCTTGATAAATTTAGGTGTTAATTAATAACGAACATAAACAAAATTTGTTCTTAAAACTATAATAATAAATATGTTAGTTAATAACAAACATAAAATGAATTTGTTCTTAAAACTATTAAAACAACATTTGTCCCGGATACAAGTTAGTACGGCTGAAAAATTACTAGGAGAAAAAAATTGATTTTCTTATTGATTAATAAAAATTTTTTTTACAAATTAGTAAAATACAAACTTTTAATAATAAATTAGGACTTAATTAGAATGAATTAAAAAAATTTCTTAATTTTAGTCATTTCCCCATTTCACATGGAATGCCCTTATAGTAAATTGAATTTACTGCTCACATGTCGTTTCCATGCTTAAAATAGGTTGTAACCCATAAAAATTGTTTTTAATAATTATTCCTCTTTTTCTTTTCAAAAAATTCAACACAAAACTTCATTTTTTTCATTATGGGGGCATTCCATGCGAAATGGGAAATGACTAAAATTTTAAAATTTCTCTAATTCATCCTAATTTATTATTAAAAGTTTATACTTTATTAATTTAAAAAAAAAATTTTTTTTAATCAATAAGAAAATCGATTTTTCTCTCCTAATAATAACTTTTCAGCCGTACTAACTTGTATCCGGATCAAATGTTGTTTTAATAGTTTTAACAACAAATTCATTTTATGTTTGTTATTAACTACCATATTTATTATTATAGTTTTAAGAACAAACTTTTTTTATGTTCGTTATTAATTAACACCTAAGTTTATCAAGATCGTGTTGCCAGCATGCTAAATCCTTTATTAGTTTTTTTTAATTATCCTAAATAATTTATAGTTAAATATATAAACAATAATGTTTCTAAGGTTGAAATAATATAAAAGTCTTTTTAATAAACAACTTGATGTAGACATTTTGTACTTGTCCCACCAGTCACAAATGCCTGTCCCACCAGTCACAATAAAAACAAATTTTTTTAATTGTTTCTACGTAGGTAATCAGTCTAATTCTTCATAATATTGAATGTTTGGAGGATAAATTTAGTATTTTCGAGGGAAGTATTTTTTTTTAGTTTAGTGGTCGAACTGAAATTGGACTTTAAGTATACCTTTGGTAAGAGAGAAGGATTTTTCTTAGTCCCACCAGTCACACTCAGTCAAATGATAATTACGAGAAACTTAAAAAGTAATCGAGGTTTTTGACAAAGGGATCTCTTAATTAGTTATTCTTCTGTATAAGATAAATTTTACTATAGTATAAATTTCAGTCTCATAATTATATATAATTGATGGAATTCCAGAGTCAAATGTCCCACCAGTCACTATGGAATGCCCCTATGAAAATGTTCCACAATAAAACATTTTCATTTAATTTTTTTGATCTTCAAAAATAAAATTTTTCCTCAAGTGTATATTTTAATATGTAAAATTAAATAAACAAACATTTACCTGTAAGTAGGCATACTTCCAAAGGTAAGAATTTTGTTGACATTATCAAGCGCCACAACCTCCGGATGGTGATTGCTAGAGCGCTCACTGTAGGCTTTGGGCGCCGGTTTCTTCGAATAGGGAGGGTCGTATTTTTGTATAGTACTCTTGCGTCTGCGGATCATCATGTGCTCATTAAAATTAACCACTCGCTTCGACAGGGTTGAAAAAAAAATTAAACAAATAGACAAAAAAAACCAAAACACACAGGACCAAAGCACATGCAAGCTAACGTATCTTCCTCTTCCGTTATTTTTATTATCATTTTGTTATTATTATTATCATTATTATTACTATTATCAACATCATTTGTGAATTATTGAATTGTTAATTAAATGGAACGTATTGGTTATCGTACCTGCCGATAACTATTGTCGAATTGATGAAATATTTAACGGGAGAAATAAAAAAACAAAATAAACGTTTATTATATTATATGCACAATTGCATTCAATAGGGTTCGCTATCGAGTTTACCATCTAATCATAGATCTCGCATGCGTTTGTAACATAAACAGTCAACCAGTCAAATGGTACACCCGCAGCTCTGCCCCGATTCTAGGTTATGTAATCTTTTTTACTTTTCTGTGTTATTTATTCTGAAAATTTTTTTATTTATCTATCCTATCTATTTATTTTTATTTTTATCCTCGGAGTTTCGAGCGCGCTTTTTTATCCGCAGTGCCCTTTTATGCCCATCTACCAAATGCCAAACTAATAAATCAAATCATAAAAAATATTTTACATTTCCACGGATTTTATATTTTTAATAAAAGAAAATCCTAAATTTATGGATTCGTCAAACAAAATTACAGCTATTTTTCATTTTTATTCCAACTATTGAAAATAAATTATTTTTTTATCTCTTGGCCATTTTTTATTTATATAAAAAATATTTTCTCGATAAAAAATTATTGCGATAAAACTTCCAGCTGTGACATTTTTTTTTTTTTTCAATTAAAAGATAATGAAGTTGAGTTTTTACAATTGAAGTTTAAAATTTTTTTGATTAGAAATCTTTCTTAAAGTTTTAGTCATTAACAGCTCCGGATATTTTTAAAAGTTTTTTACTTAATTACAACCAAACAAAAAAATTGACTTAATTAAACACTCATATTATGAACTAGCTGTCAATCTACCGCTTCGCTTGGCTTGAGTTTAAATTTGTTTATGTTTTTTTAGTAAAACAATTTTTAAACTTTACATCAGCATTCACCCGGAAATTATCTTCTCAAGAAGTTTTGTAAACGTTTATATTTTTTTATTTGCAAGGGTAATTGGTATCAATATTATAAAAATCCCTTAAAAGTTTATCCTTTGAAATAAAAATGATTTTTAGTTTTGGATATTGACAACTCTGTAATCGTAATAAAGATTCTATTCAACTTGAAAAATATCTAATTAGTCAATCAACAATACAATTATTACGTTTTATTTACTTTAATAAAATAACTAAAGAAACGATTTTAAATGAAAAGTTATTATTTACTCAACTAACAAAATACCGACGAAATATTATAAACTTGAAACATTAACTGAGAAACAATGCATTTAATGATATAAGTTTGTCTATTGCTTTGTAGTTTTTTCGGTCTGGAATGTCTAAAAAAACGTCTCTTTATTTCCGAGCATAGATATAGATTATTGATACATATTTAGTTTATTTAAACAGCATCTTATTCAAAAATTAAAAGACTGTTATAAAAAGTCAATTTGGTAACTTTGGTTTGCCTGATATTTAAAATAAACTTTAAAAATTTTCTTAATTAGTAAATAAATTGATTCTTAACGCGTTTTAATGCGACGGAATCAATAACTATTAAAGTCCATCTCTTTCAAAGGTTGGTATTGAGTTTCATAGCTATTGCTCTCAGTTTCATCATTGCAAATTATTCATACTGTTATATTATCATGTAAATTTTCATTTATAGCTCATTATCTTTCAATGTTTTAATTTTCCGGCAATACAGAATGTAAATTTTGCTATTGTTTCTGTAACAATAAAATATTAACGTATTTTAAAGTAAAGGTACCGAAAATTTTTTTTTTAAATTAATAATACTAATATAATTTTTTACAGTGCGACTATATAAGATTTATATTACAAAATAATTTTTAATAATGTCGAACTTGGATTTTTTTCGATCAGAATTTTGTAATAATTTTTTTAACATAAAATAAAAAATTTATTTTTATTAAAATCTATAACAAAAAAAAGAAATATATTTTTTAATAAAATAAATTAGAAAAGTAATTTTATATGTTGATTTAATACCTCAAATGCAAGTGGCTTATTTTTTTTTTGACGAATGCATAAAAAGGATTCAGATTGTATGATAATTCGAAAAAAAGTTTTACGAATAATTTCTAGAGCATTAGAGTAAACTCAATTACTGTTTGCTCTTCTCATTTGTGACTTTAGTTAGATATTGTTAGCCGTGACGAGATCTACATTAGTAGTATGGGTTTATGAAGGAATTATGATGGTAGATGTAGAATTCCAGAGAATGGAGAAAAAAAAAAACTTGAAAGTTTTGGATCAAGCCCTATAGAGGAAGTTGAGAGCGAAGAATATATGTTGAAAAGTTCTATGTATATATGTTTATATATTATAAAGTGTATGTATGTAAGTATGAGTGTGTATAAGAACGGATGAAAGTCGTTAAGTTGGCGTGTAGATTGATGGGATAATTTTTTAAGTCGGAAGCTGCTTGTTCAAGCTCGTCGGCCAACTTTTCGCGAGCATCGTACACCCGTATAACACGAGGGTGGTACTACTTTTCTCTCTTAGCAGCAGCAGCAGCAGTAGCAGTAAAGGGTAAAAAATCGAAAAAAAATGTCTCGTTGAAGGAATAGGAAAAGGAAAGTAAATACTATGACGTTGAGAAAGACGTTATTTGCGCGCATGTTGAAATATGTGACGTAAGTTTTGAATAATTAGTTTTTTTTTTTTTTTTTATTTAACTGAGTGACAATTGACGTTGACGTCATATGAATATTTTATTTATTTTTTAGGTAATTAATTCGGGATTTTATTTTGAAGTCAATAAATAAAAGTGTAGGCGTCAAGAATTTTACTATTGCAATAAGTTTTTTTTAATTTGATCGAATGTATTTTATGTGATCATACATTACATCACGTATGATCAAGACATCACATATAATCGACTATGACATCATATATGGTCATATGTAATCATTATGACATCACATATGGTCACGTGTGATTATTGTGACGCCACCCATATTATGTGTGACATTATGTATGATCACGACATCATATATGATCATTTATAAAATCAGATATGGTCACATATGATTGTATTAACATCACATATGGCCATATATGACATCACACATGATCACGACATTACGTGTGATTTACGAGATAATCACCTCATCATAAATGATAATTTTTTTACATCATATTTGGTTATATGTGATCATGTATGGTCATATAACAATATATGTGACCATATATGACAATATATGTGATCATATATAGTCATATATGATCATATACGTCATCATAGTAATCATATGACATCATAATGATCATATGACATCATAGTGATCATATGACATCATAGTGATCATTTGAAATGATATGTGATCATATGACATCATAGTGATCATATATGGTCATATATGTCATCATAGTGATCATATGAAATGATACGTAATTATATATGGTCATTCATGACATCACGTGTGATCACCGTATCATATCTGATAATTTTTTACATCATATATGGTCATGTGTGATCATTATGCCATCACATATGACTATTAATGACATCACAGATCAGATAAAATGGGCTTATCAATTTTTTAATATCTGAAAATTTTTCTTTAACTAAATTTTTGTCTAAAAAATTCAATAAAAGACAATTATTAGAATTTCAAAAAATTCTTTCGTCAACAAGAAAGAAACTATAATTACAAAAAAATTCTTACATTTTTTATTTGCAAGAAAAATTTATCGTAAAATTTATACTTACTCCTTGATTTTCCTTAAAATTTATATTTTATAAATATTGTTATTATTAATATAAAAATTTTCTCATTTTTTTTTTAAATTAAGAAAAACGCAATTCAGTAAAAGTTTTTTCCATGAATATATAAAATATATCGTGAAAAATTAGTGTTCCATAAAAAAAAAAGTTTTCTTAAAGTAAGTCTTAACCCGGGCCCATCTTACCCCAAAAACAATTTCAGAGGATTCATAAAAGTGGGATTTAAAAAAATAAAAAATTTCGTCACGGCTACATTGATTTTACAAGTATTTCGTTGCTCTTATTTTTGCGGCTTCTACGTTGCTCAAAATACGCTTGCGCGTTTTATATAACAAACATCCATATAATAAATATATGTATATATATATATATATATATTCAGAGTTTTCCGCCCGGTTTTACAGATTCTTTAGTCACATATTAAAAAATAAATAACAAAAAAAGAGAGAATATAATCTACAATAGCAATAAAATTACAATGGGTAAAAAGTGTTGCAATAAAACATTTTCCTCCCCTGTTACTTATCTCAGCACAGTGCTGAGTAATATATTTAACGCTGTATTAAATTTACTGCTAGCAATAAAAAATAAATTAAAAAAAAAAAAATATATATATATATATATATATAATATATAAATTCGTATCTAAACAAACTAAATAAATATAAAAGTTTACGAACCACAAAATGGCTGCGCTAAAATTTATCAGGAAATTAATTATTAATTAACGTGCCCGTGGCTACGGTAATTAGTGGCGATTAATTAAATACTCCATAATTGAATTGCCCGATAATTTTAAACCCAGATACTAGATAAAAATCCTAATATATATAATTATAATTATCCATCGAGGTTATATTAACTAAAAACGCGCTTTTTTATATTTTAAATATTCATCTTCTTTATTTTCTACGCAAGGTGCCAGGGTGCTGACTCAAGTATGTGCAAGTGAAGCTACTTTTAAATAAAATAAATTTTTTAACTTTTTAAATCATAAACAAAATTTAATTAAGCACCAAGCGGATGAGGAGCTTCTAGAAGCGCAACTTTATCTTTATTGTTTTACTCTTAATCTTCCCCGTACTGCATATCGATTTTTTTCAGATTAATTAACAGCAAAAAAATCCTATTTCCTCTTTTTTAATAGTTACACGGAAAGAACAAGATTACACTGGATATCATCCCAGATTATACTAAGTAAAAAAAATTTCAGATAGTAGCTAGTGTAATCCA